GTGTGTGTGTGTGTGTGTGTGTGTGTTTGTGTGTGTCTGCCTCCTTGAGCCACCAAACACAGCCTCTTTACGGTTCTAACTCTTTACGGGAACTCTGGCAATGTTGAAATTTGCATAGCCGCAGATCGCCTAAAGCGAATCGGCTATCCAGAAGCATAGCTGCCATGCAGCCTTTTGTCGTCGCCGACGCCACCGCCACCGCCACCGCCGCCACCGCTGCAACTCTTCCAGCAGCCAATGCCAGTTGCGGTGGCCATCTACCGCCGCTGCTAAATATATGTATTTCCTGGTCATGAATGAGTGTCTCCAACCAACGGCCTTCGGCTTTCACTGCGGCGTGCGACATCTCTGAACGTCCAGCATTTGTTGCGATCTTTTCACAATCGCTGCTGACGCGCTCTGCTAACTTGCACCAACGGCTTTTAGCGTTTGCACCCACAACAAGCGTCTACCTGCTCATGATCTCAGCAATACTAAAACCAAGCGCGCNCTGCTAACTTGCACCAACGGCTTTTAGCGTTTGCACCCACAACAAGCGTCTACCTGCTCATGATCTCAGCAATACTAAAACCAAGCGCGCGCTTCGGCCGCTCACCGCCCTCATTCGATTGCACGCCGCCCGAGGCGGATAGGTCGAGTATGGGTGTTGTTGGTGCGCTCGATGTAGCCGAGCTGCAGGGCGATTTAGTTGGCGTGCATGCCGTTGTTGACATTGACAGCTCATTGTACTTGCCGCCGCTCTGCTTGATCGCCGCCAGCTGCGCTTCGGTATGACTATGCAGGTGACTGCGTAAATTGGCGCGCTGATTGAAGCTACGCTGGCAGATGGGACACTTGTGTGGCGCCTCCTCCAGATGGGTCACCTTGTGTACGGCCAGCGTGCGCGACTGGCAGAAACCCTTGCCGCAATCGCTACACTTGAACGGCTTCTCCTTGGAGTGTATGTAGCGGTGGTCGCGCAAGTGATCCTGCCGCCGAAATGCCTTGCCGCAAATGTCGCACGAATATGGCCGCTCATCGGTGTGTGTGCGCTCGTGTATGAGCAGGTTGTACGACTTGGTGAAGTGACGATTACAATATTTGCAAATAAATTGCTTCTTTGGTCTGCTGCCAGCAATTGGCGCGCCGCCGGCCAACTTCATAGCCGCTGGAAGGCCGTGTAGGCGTGCGGCGGGATGAAGTGGATGCAGCGCAGGATAGGGGCGTATGTGATGCGCACCGCCAGCGCCAGGCGCCAATGCATGCGGGTGATGGTGGTGAGGTGCGGCGGCAGCATGTGGATGTTGTTGGTGGCTGTGGTGATAGAGCGCAGCGCTGCGCAACCACTGGTTCATGAGTAGCGCTTGATGTTGTTGCACTGCATCGGCAGTCACTGCGGCGCTGGGTAGAAATTGTGTGGCGTGGCCGTAGGCGTAAGCGGCGGCAGCTTGTTGTTGTTGCTGCTGCTGCTGTTGTTGTTGTTGCTGTTGCATGTGTAGCCACAGGCGATGCTGTTGCTGTTGGTGATGTTGCTGCGCCGCCGCCGCAGCCGCAGCCGCCGCCGCTGCTTGCTGTTGCTGTTGCAGGTGTTGTGCCTCCACCAGCGCGCCTGGATACGGTCGGCGTTGCGCTTGTTGTGTTGTTGGCGTTGTTGTGTGCAATAGCGCCATGTGTGTTTGTTGTTGCTGCTGCTGCTGCTGTATGTGTAGTTGTTCCCGCTGCAATTGTTGTTGCTCCATTTCGTACAGCGAACTGCTGCTGCTCGCCACCGCGTGGGGGGCGTGCTGTTGGCTGCGGCCGCGCGTATGCTCCTCTGTCGGCGTATGCGGCGGCGTCAGTATGGGCGAAATGCTGCTCTCGCGCTCCTCTTTGATCACCAGGTACTCGGGCGCGAAATCTGTGGGTGAATAAAAATAAGTTTTTAGTTTATTTATTTATGATTAGTTTTTCAAAATTTTGTATTTTTTTAATTTGTATTTTATTTATTTATTTTTTTTCAATTTTTTTAACTGGGACATGTTACAGAACTATACCAAAAAAATATTTAGTTTTGCCCAAAAAATGTTGTATATGTAACTTCCTTCATACTAAAATTAATTGTTTTTTTTAGAAAAATTAATTTAGTGCTTTCAAATAAACCAAATATTAATCCTTAACTAATCATATCTGGTATCATACCCAAGCGCACTTGTGCACAAGGGTATTATAATTTTGTTTTTTTTTTTATTTTCTAATTAAAATTTTTTAATGGAAAAAATAATAATAATTCATTATGGAAATCTCGCAGACTTATGTTGCGTTAAAAAACTCAAATATTTTCGTTTTACAATACCGATTTTTTAATTAGAATTTAAAAAAATTTTAAAAAATATTTTATTAGTTAACTAAATTTAGCTCAGGCACAATTATATGAGATTTTTCTTACAGATGAAAAACAACAAAATTTTTTTTAATTAAAAAAATATTTTTACAAACTTTAAAAAGTTTTAATTAACATAAACATTTGCTCAACATTTTTCGAATTGCTGATTTTTGGTATCTAATAAGCAGAAAATTTTAATTTTTATTCGAACTCCACTAACTCGTTTTCGCCGTCGGCTAAACATTTCACCACCGCCGCTTAATCTGCCTTTTACAACATTTTGCCGTCGCTAATAAAGCTCACTTACCGTGTTCTTTTATGCTTATTTCGTCGTCCACCGTCACGTTGCTCAATGGCGAAGCCGATCTGGAGGACATATTTGGTTGAATATTCACTTTGTTTTTGTTGTGTAACTTTAACGTGGAGTCCGCAACTCTGCTTTATTTCACTTAAAATTGTTCTTTTTTTAACTTTGAAAATTTACGTATTTGCTTAACGCTTTTTGTTGACGTTTATTCTTGTTGCAAAACGGACGCACAGCTTCCGTCCGTCTCAATTCTCAATGTTCTTTGGACAACGACTCGTCTCAAACTGATTTCAGGTTTGACAACACGTGAACAACTCAATTTCAAAATTTATTTTCCACTCGATACCAATACCTAAGCGCTGTGTCCGTATGCTGCTGTATCTGTGTGTATGCGCGCGCGCTCTCCCTTTTTGGCTTATCGCCACCACTACACCACTACCGCCACCGCGATGCTGCTTGCAAGTCAATGTGGTGGTGGTGGTAATAGTAGCTGCGTCTGTATGCAACTGTAACTCAGAGTGAGTAGCGTTGGTGCTGGTCGGCTTCTGATTCTGTGGCTTCCGTTTGACTGCTTGTACGAGTACTCGCACAATTTTTGGTCTTTGGTGTTACTGGTATTTTCTCCTGTCTGTGGCCAGCCGCGCTCCGCTGCTGTGAGTAGCTCAAATGTGACTGTAGCTGCTGCTGATGTGTCAACTGGTTTTTGAAGCCAACAAAATGCCTTGGCAAGCGGTGACGGCGGCAACGGGTGCTGGCGTATGGGAGTGTGTGTGCGCGCGTTCGGCCGCTATCAGCCAGCCAGCCAGCTAGTAACGACCAACAGCAGCCAGCCGCCGCCAGTCACTACTACTGTCTGTCTGCACGCTATTCAGCCTACATTAGTGTGTGTGTGTACATGTGCACGTTGGTGTTGTTTTGGTTCTCCAACGCCACTTGTGTGTGCGCGCGTGTATGCGGGGTGTATTATTTGGAAATGGCAGTTTGGTGTACGCCTACCACTCCAAATGTCGCTTGGGATTGGCTAAAGCTCGAATGCCTGCTGGGCTCTACTATCAGCGTTATTGTTGTTGCTTACATTGGCTATCCTGCTGTCGGTTGCCTGCTTCTGCTGCATCTTCTTCAGCACTCACATTACGGCTGCATATTGTAGTTGTTTTTGTGTTTTTGCCTTTTTACCTTTTTTTTTTGGTTTTTCTCATTTCACTTGCATTTGTTGTTGCAGCTTGCTGGCTGTGTGTGCAGCAAGCCACTCTTTACCATATCTGGCAGCCACCACAGCAGCTAGCGAACGGAAACTGTTTGCTGACGTTCGGCTTCTGACGTTTCGTTCCTGCCACCAGTGCGCCACCATAGCGCAACCACTGAGTTGGTGAGCAGCCGAACGATTTTTCTGCTGGTTGGGTGGTGGTGGTGGTGGTGGTGACTGTTACGCTGGGCTGCGTTGGGTTGGCTTGGTTCGGTTTGTTGGCGGGTGTGTGACAATTGGCAAAAATGGCGTGTGTGTATTAGTTAGTGTGTTTGTGTGTGTGTGGTGATAAGCAACCAGTGCATGAGCGCGATTATTGGTCCCATTTTGGTTGCTCAGCGGCAGGGCTGTGACTGGTGCGGCTCAGTGGGACTTTTAGTCACAGTTTATTCCATATTTGAGTTGTTGTAGAACGATTTTTCGTCTTATCAGCGCAGATGTGTTGGCTTCCAGTACATACATATTTAGTATACATATGTATGTATGTATGTATGTACATATGAATATAAAAACTGATTTCGTACACTTGTATACAACATACATGCCCGCTGTATTGTTCGCTCTTTGTTTTCTTATTAATTTAATTTGCTGCCTCATTTGTTTTGCGAGCCATATGGCACGTAAACACCCCTTCTACAGAAAATTGAATAAACTTCAAAGAGTTTTAAGATTAAAATTATGTAGTTTGTATGTATATATGTATGTACTAAGGCACTTCTGGCGGCGCATACGTTTATTGTTGGCATTTTGATTTAACTATGTTTAATTTTTTTCTCTAGAAATCATTTATTAGAACGGGTTTAAAATTGATCCTGCAAACTGGTTCTACAAATAGTATCTACTTTCAGCACTAGTGAAGAACATATGGAAAACAAAATTTTGTAACGCCGGAATTTTAACGCTTACCTACCCAATTGTATACTTTACCTCTTTTTTTTTAGAACTAGTAACGCTTTTTTGGTGGGTCTGCCCATTGCAATTTATCGGGTTTTTGGGGGACCTTATAAGAAGTACTCAAGTAGCATATAGAACAAACCTAGGGTGTGAGCGAATTAAATTTCGGACTTTACTTTTTCACATACATACATTTTTGGCTCACCCTACTGTATATGCAGTTTCTTCAAGTTTTTAAATGAAATGAAATCTTATAAAATGTATGTTCAGTCAAACCTCTTTATGCCGAATCCGAAATAACCGGAAAATTGCTTCGTTATAAAGTCCACTCTCGGTATTCGCGACTACCATTATAGATAGCAATGATCCAGTTATTGCTGATCCAGATGCTTTAACGGAGTAACGGTAATCTCCCACCGATGAATTAATTAATAATAAGGGCTGGTGTGTAGTAAAAACTACTAAATATATTATAATATTATTCACAAACGCATAAACTTTATAGATATATTGTGTATATAGATATGGTTGTTCGAAAATAGTTAAAAACAACAGAACACAAAATCGNCAAATAGATGGTGAGTTTCGATCCTTTTCTCGCGGGTCTTTTCAAAGATTATGGTGGATTTTCCAGGTCTTAATCCATACTAAAAAGGCTCAATCAGTTCATTGACGGTGGGTTTCAGTCTTTTACAAAATACGCTCGA